TTTTTACTGTCTTGAACTCATGAAACAGAAATGAGTTTTAACTGTTTAAAATTTACTTTACCATTACATTTATTATATTTGTACAGTTTGTCAGATTGCTTTGTGTTGTTGGACTGTTTGCTCCCATCATCCAATACAATGATAATAAAGTTAATATCAATTTGAGCTTTCATCGTTTAACTTCGAAAGGCATTCACGTGGTGCCTCCTTGAGGGAAACTGAGACCACTTGAAAGCAGCATTAGTTTACGTCATGTGCAGATCAAAAATTCTGAATCTATGCTGGATTTCTGTATAACTACAATGAATGTGATTTTTGAAAATCAGCACTATTGTACCTTTTTGTAAACAAAAAGATTCCAAACTATATGTATGTGATGGTGGTGATCCCATTCATTGCTGTCAAGGAGAAATCTAGCTTAGACATGGAGTTTCTAATATGGGCATGATACCACCTACATAATGACAACTTGACTTTGGTGGTCTGTGGACCTGTGCATTCAAGCAAAGGTCAACCCCAAAGGTTTCCTTTGCTCTGAATTCCCCATGGTGTATGTAGCTGTCTCTTAGAATCCAATGTTACAGGTCCTTTTGATAAATATACTGTATATTTATTGTATTGCAGCATGTTTCTGAAAACAGGTGTACAGCTATATAACGTATTATCATAAAATATATTAAACAAAAAGAGCTTAAATATGACTGTTTTTAAGTAACATGAACAACTGAATATTACTTTGCAGTTTAAGAAACATTTTACATGAATATAGTAACTATTCAAGTGTATACTTCTTAAGATGGTGACACTAGCTGAGGAGGTGAGCATAACTATTACTGTAGCCCAGTGGTTCTGAAACTCCCTCTTGCAAGACTTTTTCAAACATGAACACTTTTCCATAACATGGGCGGTGTGCTCGCCTCCTGTCTTTACTGCACAAACTCTGGCTCTAGTTTTCATCTACTGCGCAACCGCAAACAAGACAGTGACTTCCACTTCAGCCATTTTTTGCCTTCAGAACATCACAATGGGAGCGAAGAGAGGCATACAGTCCACTCTTATATACAGTCAATGGGTCAACCTGCTTGTTAAAGCGTGTACCAAAAACAAATCTATCTAGCTCAATTAAAAACTTTATGCAGCGTCGTAATCAGTCAGCTTCAGATGTCATGTGAAAGACGGTATAAATATGCATGTGTACGTTTTTGAGAAAGGTCCTGATGTTTACTTTTTGTCAGGACCTTTCTCAAGAACAAATTTAAGAAAAACGTAGGAAGATGTTGGTGATTGAGGCCCATTGTACTTTATACAATTTTGCATCATATTGAAGTTCTGCAGAATTGGGGTGGCAGCTGCCATCCTGTAGATTTGCCCCTGCTCCAGGATCAGGACTGGGAACACAAAGCCTTGAACATTAAAAGCCTGTGGCTGACATCTTACTTTGTAAACTCTTAGGATGGATGAAGTGCTTTGGTCTTTGCTCTAATGCACATACTTTGAGGCTCAAAAAAAGTTCAGACTTCCACACAATAGCCCTGGTGTACCGCAACATCAATCCAGCTTCAGACATGCTTCACTAACTAGTGTATTCCCATCTCTCTCTCTCTTTCTCTCTCTGACCATGTCTATGGTTTCCCTCCATCTCCCATCTCTCCTTTGTGCTAAATGCAAGGATGCTCAAAACATCCATCACCATCAAAGTCAGTGTGGGTCTGGCCTAGCCATAAATGAGTAGAGGATCACAGTGCAGTGAGAGCAGGGCAGACGGATCAGCCAATCTCAGAGTCATTATCCTAGACAGGGCTGAGAGAAGTGTGGGTGCCCCCTCCAAGCACAGAGACGGCAGCCAGAGAGCACGCCGTCTGCTCCCATCTCACACCATCCTGCCATAGCCTCGCTTTCTCTCTTTCAGCCCTAATCACACACTCTTTCCTTCATCTTTTTTCCTCTCTCTCGTACTGTTTTCCCTCTTGTATTTGTCTCCTCCTCTCTCTCATTTCTCTGCACGCTTCATATCTATCTCTCTTTTCAGTTTTTCTCCCTCTCTCTCCCTCTCCCTCTCCCTCTCCCTCTCCTTCCCCATCCCTCTCCCTCTCCCTCCCTCCCTCTCCTTCTCCCTCTCCCTTCCAGGGTGTGCAGCCTCCCTGGAGGCAAATGGGTCGACAGCAAGACAGTCTCTCTCTAATAAGGGTCTCTACTCCTTCTCCCTGCTGTCTGCAAACTGTTAAACTGATCCAGACACAGATTTGATTCATGCAGCAAACGGACACACACAATGCACATCCATGTTTTTCTTCATCAATATATATAATTACTGAGGCACAATATCCAGAGAAAACCAAAATCAATAGAACAACCTGCATAATAACAAGAAAATAAATATCCAAAGTCTTCTTTCCACCTATTTGATAAATTGAATCAAGTCAAAAAGTGATTCAGTGACCATTATTTACTAGTATTCTTTCTAGACTCCAACTAATTTACCAGCTAGCCATTAACATCGGCTGATATTTAGATCACACAAATTTATTATGGTTTTGACAAAAATCTTACTGATAAAGCTTGGCTTTTGTTGTTTTATATTGCAACAATTTGACATAGTTAAAGAGAAAAAAAATCTTTCAATGCTAAGGATTTAACGGTTTCATGCTCATATGTCAATTTAACTAGGAAACAGTAAACCTGAACACAAAGTAGAATCAAGGTTAAAAAAAAAAAAATACAAAAATATTTAAAATGCAATTGGTTTAACATAAAGATAACACATTCACATTAAGTAATCTATTAAATAACAGATGAAATAAGAAAAATAAAAGACAACTGAAGTTCTGTATGTGTGTGTGTATATATATATTATTAAATATTTAATTTATAACGTAATGTTGACGGAACGCAAAAGATGGAACTTGGAAGTGCAGAAGTGTAGTGCCCGGACACTCTGTGACGTGCACGTAACAAAAACACAACTGGATGAGCGAGAAATCCGACCGGCACCCTCTGCATTAAAAGCTAGGTTAGGTCAGGTCAGGAGTCAACAATCCAAATGTTAAGAAGAGCCATTTTGTATTTTCAACAAAAATCAAACCACCGTGGGAGCCTAAACATTTTATGTCTAATGTCTCAGTACATGCTAATGTCCAAGTATAGGCTAAAAAATATAAACGAAAATGCATACTTACTTTGCTCTGCTTTAAGCTTTAGCTATAGCTGCTTTCCTCCCATCTCCGCCAAGACATTTTTCTTAAAAGTAGAACTGCTCCTTGTAAAATGTCTCTCAACGTTCGACTGTTTCTACAAGGCTGAAGTCAGCTTCTTATTCACCAGCTTCTTGTTCGAATTTTCCCGTTCCACCTTAAATTCTGACTGAGGCGCCGAACATAAATGCGGCATCATTTAAGGTGGAACGGGAAAACTCGAAAGAGAAGCTGACTTCAGCTTCACAACTACGGTGCTTATAAATGCGAATAAGTCCATTCATCTCCAAATGTTTGTCTTAAATCTCTCTCTTTGTCTTTTCGTTAGCTACTAGCTAGGTGAAACTGCGCTGCTATGTGACCTGCAGTCTGCACACCAGTTCTCAGTCGTTGAGAGCCAGGGCTTTCGCACTATGTTGCACATGTCCCGTCTCGAAGATATTTTACTGACACAGCGATCCCCACTCTCTACAACGAGACCAAAACCGAAGTTATAAAATCACTATAGAAAACGGGTAGGATGGCTGTAATGTGTGTTCCATGGACATCCATTGCCACTGGATCTTATTTCACTGTAACAGCGCATTTTATCACAGATGAGTGGCAGCCAGTGTCTCATGTGCTCCAAACAATGAATGTGAGCGTTCTAGTTCACTTGCCACATCACTTCCATTTGTTTTATTAATAAAAGATGTTGGAAGTAAATTCATTATGGATCATTACAAATACTTTGCTTTAAAAGTACCAAGTCCTCACACAGTGAGAAAATAGAAATCCTGTGATCGAATCAAATCATGAGGTGCCTAGAGATTCCCATCCCTGATATATATATATATATATATATATATATATATATATATATATGTCATGACAATGTCTGGTCATCAGTTCACAATCTGAAGTTCAAACCATTTGGATTATGCAGCAAGACAACAATCCTCTGCATGTCCACCTCTGAATGTAAAAGGAGCTTCTTAGAATTCATAATGGTTTTGTTCTTTAGTTATTTTTTATTTTTCTTACGTTTCTTAAAAAATATTTGTTATTTACTTTGGTTTCATACCATATCCTTTCAAATCAGCAATCTGAACCAAAGGTAAAGAGTAAACCAGCCTGAGGTAGTGGTTGGAGCTTGATGTTTGATTGGAAAGGCTGATATGGATGGATGGTGGAAGAGCAGGGCTACTGCAGCTTTAGATTCATTGGGCGATCCCAGACCTCACGGAGTAAGCCTCAAGTGTGAGGCTGTGTGCCGCTGTGTGAATGAGCTTCCATTAGCAGAGCAAATGCCATTGATTTTGTGTTTACTGGCCAAGCCCTCCTGTTTTCAGAGTCGTAAAAATAAACCCGCAGCCATGACTCATCCTGAGGCAGTCATAACGGACACAGAGGGACAGCAGACACGTGCCCAAGCAGTTGTCTGAGGAAACTGCATTTGGAAAGGCAGCCAGTAAAGACTTGTACACAGTGCAGAAACACAGAGAGTGAGTGAGAGAGAGAGAATGCAATGTTATGTTAGCAAGCCAGCACGCTTGAGCTCCACACACTCAGAGCCTGATGGAGTATACCCACTTTTGTACCGTTGCCGGGCTACAAGGCTGCATTATGGTAGTACATTGTGAGATTTATCACAAAGAAGGAGTTCTATAAACTATGGAAAAGGCTTTGACCTTTAAGCTCAGAAACTTTTCTTTTTTCTTTATTGCTGCTTTATACAGCATCAAAGAGTATTATGTCTTTTGATGGCAAGGCCAGAATGTGCTAACTGCACATTCACACATACGGACACACACAGCCAGTTAGCCTTACCTTCTTGGCAGCATCAATGCACTGCATGTACTCTTTGGCCAGGTCTGAGCATTGCAGGGTCTGGTTGCGGTTTTCTCTGTAGCAGAGCAGGATCTGAGCCTGAAGGTTAGTACATACTGGTTCCACGCAACGCGGCCTGTAGAGATCACAAACAGGTAAAAGGTCAAAGTATATATATATAAATGGGTAGAATAAATAGGCGAAACAAGCACATTACTATGGAAGCATGTCAGTTTCAAAACTAAAATGAAAATATATTGTAAAATAACAATGCATTTGTTTGCATTTAAATTTCCCACTCATGCATGCAATGATCAGCTCAAAATTAAAATTCTAATTCACTACTGCTATTTCAATTAGCCTAGTAATGACATTTTATTTACACAAAGATTTAGATGCTTTATAAGCAGCTTTTTAAAATTAAAATGTATTTTAAATTATAATTAAATTAAATAATTAATTGAGCATATTTATGCTTAATGTGTTTATGCGACAATTGTGTCAAAATAATAAATAAAATGTCATCAGCATTTACAATGTTATATGCATTTTCACTCTCTAATAATGCATTTAAATTGCATTATCAAAGAGAACGCCAAGCTAGAAAGAGGGCAAAATTAAATATAAATGGGAAACAACACCTCTCCTATTTGCAATTACATGTTCTTGCCTACTGCACTCATTAGGTGTCAAAATGCCTGTGAAATTGCATTCCACCAGATTTTCTTGGTCTTCCCAAGCTGTCAATCATCCCATCAGGGCAGGGCCAACAGTACGCTCAGCGGAAAGGCTTTATCTAAAAACATGGCAGCTGATTTTTTTCTTTAGAATACAGAGCGACACAGAAATGTACCATTTTGTGATGATTACTTTGTCTTTGACTCACGAAGAATCTTGTTTCTTTATTATTGTCTGGGTTAACCAGATGCGGTGGATTAATCCAGTATCACGAGCTATGTTCTAACTTACATAGTGTGCATCAGATGTGTACTAATGAAATGATTTAGTTGTACAGACATGTGTAAATCACACAACCACTTTGTTGTAGTAGCTTAACTGAAATCAGCTGAAATGTTCTGCTTTCCTTTTTAAAAATGTATATATAAAATTATATATATATATATAATTGCTGGTATATATGTGTGACACAGTGAGCTGGGGCATGTTGGCCAGCTGGTAAAAACAGCGGATGGGGTCTTTGTTTAGAAACAAGGCATTAATAATGGCTTTTAGCTAGCTTAATTCTGCAGCCCTCCACAATTCACGTAGCATAGTAGCAGGTGAGCTGATGGTACAGCAATATATCCATCTCTGATGCTCACTTTGAAGAAGATATCCTGCCTGGCAAGACTAGAATCTAATCAACTAGAATCTGTACGTGCAGCTTCACTTTCAGCCACCAATTTATGAAACAAAGCTGTAGTTTCTTTTTTGAATTTTCTGTTACACTTTAAATGGTGCTGTTGTAACATTCAGGCATACTGAGGCACCAGAATGTATCTGCTGCAGTGGTGAACCGGAAAATTAAAAAAAAAGAAAATTATTAATAAATAAATAAATAAATAAATGTTGACAAGAAGGAAGCCAGGTTCAGCCTCGTTTTTGCCAACTAGATCGATAAACCAGAAAACTTGGCCACACGCTTAAACCCTTCCTCAGGGAGTCGTGTATAAAGACATTAAGCATCACAAGTGGCCATTTTTCTCTTCTTTATCTCTTCTGCTAATGTAAGAGTAGCTATAACCATTTTGGCTGCCATGTGTTTAAATAAAGCCTTTTCTGCTGAGTGTGCTCTTGGCCCCGCCCTGATGGGATAATTAACAGGTTAACCGACGGAAGGCATTTTCAAAGGCATTTTGACAAAGAATGAGCACAATACGAGAGAATATGTAAACGCAAAGCGGAGAGCCGCTGTTTCCCATTTACATTTGAATTTTGCCCTATTTCTAATTTGGTGGTCTCTTTGATAATACAATTTTAAATGCATTATAAGAGAGTGAAAATGAATATGAGATAAATTCCATTTAAACAATTGTAGCATGTTTGGAAAATGTTTTTTCTGTTAGTTTTAGGATAGTTGTTCTACAGAAGTTATTTGCTGTGTTTTTTTAAACAGAGACTCATATTGTGAGGCAGGGCTAGCCTGCTGGCTGTGTGTTTGTTTTTGGGGACAGAGAGCTGAGGCTGAGAGGCAGAGGAAGTCTGGGTTAGAACGAACTGTTGGAGCACAACAACTTGTGCAAAAGCTGTGTCTTCTTCCATAGTTATCATTTCGATATTATTGCATAATCATATTAAGCATAAACATGCAGTTTATTTTGGAAATTTATTCTAATTTAAATAAAGCTACTCATAAAGCATCTAAACCTTTGTGTATATGTCATTACTAGCATACTAAATGCAGGGTTGGGATAGCTACTGAAAAATTAGTAGTTAGCTACTTTGCAGCTACTTTCCCAAAATTTGTAGCTTTTCCAGAGAAAGTAGTGGCTACTTTTGAGCTACTTTTTGAAAAGTAGTGCACTACTTTTTAGCCACTTTCAAAGCGAGATTGTCAGAATGTTTCTGAATCTCCACCTGACACACCAAACAAGCCGAACTGATAGTGTGAACACTGCATTTAATCATGTGCATGACAACCTACAATTGAAAAGCTGCAAATGTACAAAAAGATCACCAAAAAGAAAGTTTAAGTGTATACAACAATCAAACTTATATAAACAAAAGCTTGATATCCAACAAAAATTTAGACTAAGTAAAGGCAAAGTCAATCATTCCAGGTTTTTCCTAACACAAATCAACAAAAATAACGTCTACAAGCCAAACAATTTTGTGCAAAGCACTGTCAACTGTTGAAATAAAACTGCTCCAATTTAAACATTTCAGCAAGATATGTACAGACATGACATTCAGAGTCCTTTGTTAAACTTCAGCAACACTTTAGCCTCAAAATTCTCATCAGTGACCCTGGCTCTGTTTGGGGTGAGAATCAGGCCTGCGCAGCAGAATTATCTCTCCACTGCTGCAGAGCTGTTGCGGCTCCACAGCAGAACAAAATTTTTAGGTAAAATAACAATCCTCCTTTGCTGTAAAATCATTATAACAGACAGTTCTGACACAGTTTTCAAAAGAAATGGTCTTAAACGCTGGAGTTAACACATAACTGCTAATTCACCAACCATTAACGTTGAAGACTGATGCGCAGACTGCTGGTCACACAGCAACGCAGACAACGAAAAGGCAAAGAGAGAGATTTAAGACGAACATCAATCATTTGTAGACGAATGGACTTATTTACATTTATAAGCACTCAGCTGGTTTCCTCATATGCTTAATCTGCAGCAAGTCGCGAAGCTGAAGTTTCTCATTCTCCAGCTGGTGAATGAGAATCTGACTTCAGCCTCGTAAGTCGAACATTGAGAGACATTTTACAAGAAACCTGTGGAAAACTTTTCCTAGATGCGAGAAAAGTGGCTATAGCTGAGCTAAAGGCTAAAGCAGAGCAAAGTGAGTCTGCGTTTTACATCAGCACATACTGAGACATATTTAAGCAAAGATGGTAAAATGGACATAAAATGTTTTGGCTCCCAAGGTTTGTTGAAAGGACAGAATGGCTCTTCTTAACATTTCGGTTGCCAACCCCTGAGTTAAGCCGACTACTAAGGGGTGATCAGTGCAAGGGACCAGCGCGTGCCCGTTTGCTCGAGCTGTCCGCGGCTCAGTCAGGATTGCACGATTGCCACCAGCCTAGTTAACAACTGCATTCTGTGGTTCAGATTTTGCGCAGACCAACTGAAGCCTGTAGCGAAACTGTAGCGAAAATTATTGCTACAGCTACACAAAAATTTGTAGGCACTACAGCTATTAGCTACATTTCTTGAAACTGTAGCGGCTACAGCTTTTAGCTACAAAAATTTGTAGTTAGCTACAAAAAGTAGAGCACTACTCCCCCATCCCTGACTAAATGGCAAATTAAAATCACAGTATTAAATTAGAATTTTCAATTTGAGCTCATGTTAAATGCAAACATACAAATACATTGCCATTTTACATATTACATTTTCATTTTAATTTTGAGATTGATAGGCTTCCATACATTACAGTATTACTACCCATTTAAAATGCTGACAATGTATTACTGTCCTTTATCTGTTTAGAATGTTCTCAAAAAAAGAGCTCAGTTAACCAGAAGGACAACTTAATTCCGCAAACAGATTGGCAGCTTAGATGTGGAGGTCCACTTATAAATCATATTGAACCAACACTCATGGTCACAGGAATAAAAAGACAATACACTGACTTCAGTCCATAACCAAAAGCACTGTTGTATTTCCCCCCCCCCATGATAAACTCTCTTGCTCTCTCTCTCTCTCTCTCAGTTGAATGAATGAATATGGGGAGACAGGTTAAAGTGAATTACCAGCAGAGCAGTTACGCATTAATATTACCGTTGACACAAGTGGTAGTGACTTGCACAACTATGAAAAATAACCCAGCCATATGAGGCAACCTCTCTGTGCAAGCCAGCCTTGAGCTGAAGACGCATCAGAAAGTTATACTAATTTACTGACCAAAGCTTTATCACTGTTTGGTATCAGAACTTTAGTTAGATTATAAGTGCAGGATATAATAAGAATTAACTCATGAACTAATAAATAAATAACTGAATATTTAATAAACTGCATATTTGTAAACCAACCCAGTGTTTAAAAGACTTCAAAAAAAAAGCAGCTCCTGGCTGCAATAGCACTACAGAGACATGGAGTTTAGTAGAGACAAAAAGAGGAGAACTTAACCAGCACACACAAGAAACATACTTTATCCAAATGGTCATCTTCATTCACTTTCAAATGAACCAAAGAAAACAGTGTTATTATCAGCTCCTAACCACAAAACCTGCCAAAATCTCTGCTTTAGTCAACTCAACTTCAGCCCGAGAAAGCAGCTGCCTACACTCAGAATTGCTTTCCACATTCTGTTTTTTTTGTTTGTTTGTTTGTTTTTTTGGTCTTGCTGGCCCAAACGGTAACATTAATCTCATCACACTGCGGTGGAGTACAAAGTTCGTTTGTCACACACTCTTCATCACCTCATATCAACAAAGGGCCACACCCGGGAAACCAGAGCATCACTCGA